TAGATTGTGCAACTTTAATGAAAGTTTATTAGAAGCCCAGTCTAAAATTCCTGAAAAGTCTTGGAATAACTTGCTCATTTTTTAAGGTTGGGACTTGGGAAACAACTTGCTATCAGAGGAATAGGTTGGGGGCAAATATTGCAATTTTTCACAACAATTGTCTTGCGCAAGTGTAGAGGAAATCAGGATTTACCTGAAAGCTAAGCTCACTCAAGGCTTTGCTTCCACTGTCAGGTCGCCTCCCATTGGGGTAAGAAAAGGTTCTTCCCACCTTCAAATTACAAAGGAGAATCACCATGGTCAGGACATTATAGATCATGTCGTACTCTTAATTCATAAGAAGATACATTCATCACATAGAATGCTTGTATGCTCCGCTTTCCAAATGCAGACACATGAAGAGAGAGAGAGAGAGAGAGAGAGAGAGAGAGAGAGATGACCTCTCTAACCACAAAACGACCACGTTTATCAGGATATACAAAAGCAAAGGACAGAATAGCATCTCTTCTTCTTGCCTCTGGAGCAACCTCTTTAACCTGGAATACAAACAACTTTAATTACATGATCAATATAAAGATAAAGGATGATAATATGCAAATTCATTTGTAGAGATACACAGCATTTTGTCACAGAATTAAGAAGCACAAAGCAAAAACCACTTTGAAAGCAAATAAGCTTCAACATGAAGCTAATTGCCAAAACTAGTGATGGCAAAGGAAAACCAATCCAAACAGGATATATTCAAACAACTTGAATGTATGACTTAAGGCCTGACTCATCCAACTACTAGCTTTTCAGGTTCAAATATTAATTCATCATCAATGTAGAAAGTAGAAATGGAGGAGGAAACTAGTTTGTTGGTATTGACCAAGTGTTGATAGCAGTAAGAGGATTATGAATTGTTGCTAGAAAGCAAAAAACAAGGCGGACTGGTAGCAATCACTACGAATATACTTCTCTAATAATTCCAGGCCACCATTGGATGAGAAGGAAACAACCAATAGCTGCTCTACAATTTGGACGTGATAAGGTTTTGACACAAACTTCAATGAGGTTTTCACAGGCATAAATGCTGAATTTACAGACCAGAAAGATAAATAAGAAAAGGAAAAGAAGTAATTGTACGCGTGTATTATCAACGAGAAGGCCATTTCTCTTTGGATGAATACAAAATACACATGCACATCAAAGAAAAGAGTAGAGATTGAACTGCAGAAAATATATTGTGCAACCTCCCCTCATACCAGATCAGTTAATTCACGTAGAGTCGCATCCATCCATGTATAAATTTGAACCTCATCTTTGGGTTCCTTGCCCCTCACCGCAAACTCCCCATCAGTATGATGGCCTCCAACCTGCAAAAAGTTAAAGAAGTGGATGACAAATTGACTAGATCTGTTTAAAGGCAAAAAGGAATGCCATGACGGTTCACATACCTTAGTGAAAACACGAAGCAACAATGGACAAGTCTGGGCAACAATGAGAAGAGAGAAAAAGATGTTATAAAAAACAATTAGGTTACGCAATGAAAAAGAACTTTTTGTGAGTCCAAACTTGACCCATGAAAGTGGGAGAAATAAAATTTTACAGTAATTTTGCACAAGCCATGCCAAACAAGAAACTCAATTAAATAAAATTCACAGAAAGTATACATAAAAAAATTATTGGTTATGCAAAGAAAAGAACTCTTTGAAAATGTTCGATATTGGTTCTCGAAAGTGGAAGAAATAAAATTCCAAAGTAATTTTGCACAAGTCATGCCAAACAATCAACTAATCCATAATTTCCACATGAAACAAATAAGAGAACTCATTGGATCAGATGCAAAAACCAAATTTGAAATGTCAAACACCACACCATGAGGTACTTGATAATTTCTTTCATCAATCTGTAGCTAGTGAAAATATAGTGCAAAGCTTACCCTTCTGACCAAATAATTTCCATATTCTAAGATTATACAGCCGTATGAAAATATTTTATCATATTCTTATTGATTTGAAAGAATTCCAATCCATCGAAAATACTGTCAGAACAGAACCAAATTATGAGACCCACTTTCATCGCCATATCAAGAACCATGAGCAACATGTCAGTAAAACTGGCTGGCTTTTGTTTTTCTTTTTATTTGAAAAATGAATTCATACTAGACACTCATGTACTGAATTCCAAAAATTATAATTGCAAGTCCCTTAGCATGCCTTTCGAGTTCCAAATGGAAAAAGCCGTGAAAATTCCACAAATGTCAGCATACCATGCATTATTATTGTGCAATTTCACATCAAATTTCTCTAAATGTAAAAATTACATTATAAACACATGTAAATGGTCCCGTGTTAAGGTATTCGTATTCAATGAACCCTAGGCCCGTTTTCTCAAATTTCCCAAAACTTCATCTAAAAACAGCCATTTGGGAGAAATTAGTCGTGACAAATATTAAAAAAAAAAAACGAAAATCACTCCAATGCTTTACATACACTTATGCATACACGCGTCCATGGTCATTCATTAAGGTATCTAAACCCTAAACCCATATTCTCAAATTCCCGAAAATTCTTGAATAAACATCTATTTGAAAGTAATAAATCGAAAAAAAAAAAAAAACCAATCCAATCCAATGCTTTACATACACGCGTACATATATAGAGAGAGAAATAAACCTTCTCCCGATCGACGGGTTCCGAGCGAGGCCCAGGCTTGGTGGCAGGAGGCGGTGGTGGACCCCTCGCCGACGGAGGCAGCGGCCTTCCTCCTGGTCTTCTCTGCACTTCTGCCATTGCTGTGTTTGCGAGAAATTTGTGCAAAGAGTTCAATATTTTCCTCTGATTTTGGTCAAGACGAGGGTAAAGTCGGTAATATATCGAGGGTTCGGAATGCGGAAAGGATAAACCATCGTAGTTTAGCCCGTGGATTAAAATCTTTATTTTAATTTAATTTAAAATCAACAATTAATTATAATAATATATTGGATAATTATATTACCACCATAATATTTATTT